AGAAAAATCGTTTTCCAGAAAACACAGATAAGATAAGTTTTGAAGACAGATATTTATTCGCCTATTAAAAACAAATATTTATTTGCACAATATTTTATGTAGAAGGAATGCACAGTTGTATTATCAATCTAAAAACAGAAATTCTTGAAAAAATAAAGCTTTTTTTACTCAAGATTCTAGAGATTGCAAAATCTTAACATTTCAAAACAACTAAAAGGTTAAATACTTGAAGTGAAAACTCAAATCTTTAGCAGAAAACAAAATTTTGCTGATCAAATTTAATGTTTGCGGCAATACTCATTCTGTATTGAGCATTCTCCTTCAAAGTTTAACAAACTTAACTATCACAAATAGTTTTCTCAGAATTGGTGGAGACGCTACTGCAGTTAAGGGTGCCCACGTTTAAACATGTCTTTTTGACAGAGTAAAAACAGAAGCCTAAGTTGTAGCATTCTATCAGTTAAATTTTGTCCTGCATTTTTGTTTTAACCATTTTCTCTTGTCTGCTACTTCGCTTTAGCTGTGTTGCATCTTTTATAATCTGTAGTCATTTCTTTTCATTTTTATTAGAAGTTTTATCTCAGGATTACTTATCTTTCACTTTTTTACTTTTTTTTTTTTGAATTGGAAAGCTCTTAGAGAAATCTATAAAATTGTAAAGGCAGATACTTCTAGGACTTTCTTGATGTTATTTGTCAAGTTCTATAAACACATATAATACACTACGATTAAACAGGCACTTTTGAGCAGACTGACAATATGAGGACTGTGAGGAAAGGAATCGTACGGGGTTTAGGACTGTGGTTGAAAATGGTACAGCTCAAGCAGTACACTATCCATCTACACTTTGACAACCTTATGAAATGACAAAACAGTTAGGGTGATATTTTGGAATTATTCAGCTAGAAACTTGGCAAGAACTAAGTGGACAAGTATGAAACTTCAACAGATAAATTATCGGGGATTTCTATGCATAAAATATTCATTAAAGTTTACGGTCAAAAAAATTATTTTTAGAGGAGGGTACTCTTAACTGCAGTAGCACCTAGGTAGAAAATGAATTAGAAAAATCTAGTTGGTCACTGTTTTTAAGAATAACTATATTCAGAACGCCAAACTACGTTTGATTTTTTTTTTTTGAGAAACAGCATAAATTATAACGTTTAAG